ATTTTCATTGTATTCACAGTCAAGTATCATTTTACATGGTGATACTTTAAAAGACATATCCTGACATAATTTTGTAATCTTAATCTTCTTTCTGCCATTTCTCTTCTTAATGTTTTTTTTCCTATTGCCAGAATTCCATTGAATTAATAATACAGTATCAATAATTAATTATTAATTAATTAATTAACAATACAGTAGTAATAATACAATTACAATTAATAATACAGTAGTTATCTAAAATTATATTAGATGCATAGGCTTTATTTTTCTTTATCTAGTTGCCTTCCTCTGGTCTTGATTTTAGTTTCAGATTCAAATTTATCTTCACAGCATTGACTCAGGGATAAAAAATGAGAACCATTCAAACTTCGTCAGGGGTGAGGGAAGAATGGAATGGGGAAACTTTTGGCACATTTGTTTTTTCAACATTTATCCTCAAGGTAATAAGAAAATTTGATGGAGATCAAGTGCCATGGCTGAATGAGTTTATTCTAGCTTTGAAAATTCAGTTGAAATTAAGTTTTCTTACAAAAGGGAGAGTTTCTGGATGAGTGATAAATATTTTACATAAGGATTACTTACCTGGGAATAAAAATGAGAGGAGGAATAGATGGGTGTTTTAGCTAACAGAATAACTAAATCTCCATGTTATGTTAAATAGGATACTATCAAATAGAATGTAGGAATATGACCTACAAAATTAAACCTTCCATGGAGCTCATTCTCTGATATTAAAAAATTATAGACTGAAACTGAGACATAGGTACAAAGGGGATATTTGAAGGATCTTGATTGCACCTTTTTAGAAGAAAAATTAAAGACTTTTGCTCCTGTTCAGCATAGCACTGCAAAGGCTGGACTAAGACTTCTGCTGCTAAAACTTTAGTGAGAGCAAATATCCTGGCCATAAAAGTAGTCTTTAGAGTAAATAAGTAAAATGTCCCAAACAATACATTCGTACAACTTGGATGTGAGGGGATATTTTCAGTGTCAGAGTGGCCAAAGAGGGATGTCCAGAAGGAGGTGTTTGAGGCAAAGGACTTAAATTATTTAAAATAAGATTTTGAAGACTTCATAGAAGTTCATGTGCATGAATGAAACTGATTTCTGCAGAAGTACTGTGAACAGCTTCTGTGCTGCTGCCATGTCAGCGTGCCTCAGTCAGAGGAAAGAATCTGGGGGTGAGCAGAGACCACAGATGCATGGCAGGATACAATGGCCAGAAGAAACAACCAAACACATCCTAACCCAGACCTGGGCTTTTAACTGATGAGCGATGAGCTGCTGCCTGAATGGATGTGTCCTCTTGTGTTTGTGTTGTGGCTGTAGTGACACGACTAAATTGGCTAAAAATTGGGGGAAGTTTTGGAGTGACCCGTCCTATGCTTTTTGTCCTATTCAATATTCATTAAAAGAAATCCTTTGGCTCTACTCAGATCTTCTAAAAACTACTTAGATCTTCTAAAAACTTCTAAAATGGTGATGTTTAATCATGAAAAAGCTCTCTTTAGCACTGTACGTGATAGAAATGATAAAGTGATAACTTCATTTCAATCATCATTGATTTGCTTTGACTTGAGATATGCAGTATTCCAAATTGTTTATTTGCCAAGCATAGGATTTCCATTCTCCCATTTATCAAGTATGGCATCTCAGTTCTCTCATTTTACAAGAAAAAATACTACCCAATCCCAGGCTGTTAATGAAAATGTAACAATGAAATTTAAATTAAAAGTTTTGATAGGAATTATGGATTTATTGTGCAAGCAATTCTCTGCTCTGACAAGAGAGTATTTATTTACAAGATTTTGTAGAAAAGGGGTTTAAAGCCATTAGTTTTGCCAGCTTAAGAACATGTATTGTTTGGAAAAAACCTCAACCCCTGCTAAAAGCCCTTGGCCAGGGACTGGTATGGCATTACCATGTCTTAAAGAGCTATACCTTGCAGATTTCTATTTTAGAGTCTGTCTCCTTTGCAGAGAGTACATTGTCCTTTAACAATCAAATGTCATGTGTGTGTGATCAAACTTGCATCTATGAGCAGAGCAAAGAACCAGAGGGAACATTCTGCTGCTGCCAGACTGCACCTGTGGTGTTTAATATCTTGTCAGTTATCTGGATGAGGGGATTAAGTGCATGCTCAGTAAGTTCTCAAACACCAAGTTGGGTGGGAATGTTCTGTTAGAGGGAGGAAGGATCCACAGAGGGATCTGGACAGGCTGTTTTGATGGGCCTTGGCCAACTCTGTGAGGTTCATTAAGGTTCAGTAAGGTAAAGCATTGAGTCTTAAACTGTTTCCTACAATGCCATGCAGCGCTGCAGGCTGGGGGAAGAGCGGCTGGAAAGCTGCCCTGGGGGAAAAGGAGACCTAGGGGTGCTGGTCAACAGCAGCTGCCCACGAGCCACTGTGTCCAGGTGGCCAGGAAGGTCAGTGTCAGCAATAGTGTGACCAGCAGGACCAGGGCAGTGTTGGCACTGGTGAGGCCACACCTCAAATCCTGTGTCCAGTTCTGAGCCCCTCATTTCAAGGACATTGAGGTGCTGGGGGAAATCCAGAGAAGAACAGAGCTGGTGAAGGGTCTGGAGCACAAGTCTGTCCTATGAAGAGCAGCTGAGGGAGCTGGGGGTGTTCAGCCTGGGAAAGAGGAGACTCAGGGGAGATCTTACCACTCTCTACAACTCTCTGAAAGGAGGTTGTAGCCAGGTGGGGGTCAGCCTTTTCTCCCAGGCAGTGACAGGACAAGAAGACACAGATTTGGCTGCTGCAGCAGAGTTTGAGGCTGGACATCAGGAAAAATTTCTTCACTGAAAAGGTGGTTAAGCACTGGAACAGACTGCCCAGGGACATGGTGAAGTCACTGTCCCTGTGTGTTCAAGAAACAACTGTCCATAGCACTTACTGCTATGGTCTGCTTCACATGTTGATCGGTCAGAGGTGGGACACAATGATCTTGGGGGTCTTTTTCAACCGTAATCATTGTCTGATTCTATATGACAGGGCAGTTCTTCAAATACAGTGAAGCTGTGCAAAGGCCTTTCCCTAACAAACACACGCAAACCAGCTGGATCTCTACACCCTGGCTCTGCTTCTGTGATGGTGGCAAGTAGTGTTAGGTAGAAACCTGGAGGGAATTAAAAAACCTTCTACAGCTATTAAATCAATTTTTCTTGCTAGCTTTGTTGAGCTTGGAAACTGATGTCCTTTTCTCATGTTTGTCTAAGCACCCTCTTTTTCCCTGTATGGCCACAGAGTATTGTAAGCTTTTTGGCACAGGGATTAATTCTTATTGGCAAAAGTATCAGGACATCTCAAAGAGGATGAACAACTGGGGTAGCTTGTTAACAGAAAATTAGAAAGGACTTCTAGTTCCATGAAAGACACAAGGTCAAAAAGTAGCCTAAATTGCAATGAGCTCCTTTATTCTTTGGGTTACACATTATATCACCCACAGTGTTTTGAAGTTGGTTCTGGAACAAATGACCAGGCTTGCACATATTGTTAGCTTAAAATCCAATTTCTCAGTTGTTTCCTATTCTAAATAGAAAGTAATTGGTCTTGGGGCTTATCTGAAACCTTGTCTAATGTAAAAGAGCAAATTAGAGAACCATGTGTTGGTGTGTGGGTGTAGTAGAGGAGGAAGGGAAAAGAATGGATTTCTGTTTACTTCATATCCCTAAATGCTCTGTTAATTGCTTTTTTCTGTTTACTTCATATCCCTAAATGCTCTGTTAATTGCTTTCTTTTCTTCATCACTCTTCTCTCATTCTGACAGCAGAATTAGCTTATGTCTATTGCTATAAATTATAAATTTATAATATAATATATATAAATATATAACATATATATTTTTTATAATAGCAATTACAAATAAATTGTTATAAATTATATATTTTTTATAATAGCAATTACAAATAAATTGTTATAAATTATCCCAAATGAACACATGATAGTTTTAATGTTAGAAATTCAAGGAAGTACTAAAAAAAAGTCTTCTAAAATATAGAAAAAATAGGTTTCCTGCTTTTTGTAAAATAAGGAATATTGAGATTTTCACTGGTCACATATAGTAGGGACAGGTCTCCTGCATGATGTGTTGTCAGGGGAAAGAAGGAGGTGTCTATATACACACTCCTGAATCCCATTCCCTGACTGAGGGACTACTACACTGTTGGGCTAATTCCTCTCATTAAATTAACTGAGAAAGAATACAAAAGGAATTCCTTCATCCCTGAATTATCTTAAAGTGAGAGGTCAGCCACAACCACATATATAGATGCATCATTTGACATGGCCAGGTGTGTTCTGTGTAATATGATGCTGCCACATCCTTTGTAAGATGCTGATGAGATAGCACAATTATTCTCATTTACAGACGTGAAATTAGAGGAAAATATGTTTTCACAAAACCACTATTAATTCCAGAGGTGTCTGAGCTTTTGGGTCTTTTCTGGAGAGCCACCTGAACCCACGCACAGCAGGTGCAGACCTATGATTCTCATTTGTGTGCTGGCAGTGAGCATGGCTGGGAGTTTGCTGTGTCTGCAGGCAGGTTTTCCCCTACCTTCTTGATGTACTACAAGAAGAATGCACCAACCTTGAAACCCTTTATCCATGTCTGTGCATGACATCTGTCACAGGGCAGCTTTCCTACCTGCTGATAAGAGCAAATCTGTAAGCAAGGGTGTGATGCACTGGGAGAGGGCAGCACTCCACGCTGCATCCCCTGCCTGGGGAGCACAGCTATCCTGAAAATCCCCCTGGCATCATTCCTGATCCCTAACAAGGGGCACAACAGCAGCAGTTTGTCACTAAAGGAAGAGGAACAAAGATAAACTATGAGCTGAGGAAGGAAAAAGAGGAAAGGACTCAGTGCTTACAACAGGTATGAAAGAGAGCCCTTTCACATCTTGCAGCCTGGCTTCAGTCATAAGCAGCCAGCAGGCAGGCAAACACACTAGTGAGTACCGAGATGCAGGGAAAGAAATGCAGTTTACACAGATTGAAATTGGTGAGAAGAAATTTATTAGAAGTTCATGGGTGGAAAATCTACAGCTTCTGCAAGTTTTAGAGTGCCCTGCTATTCTACATGTGAAATACAATTTTTATTTGACAGGCACTGTGTTGACAACTTTTGATTGCCATGTATAAAGGAGGAACTTCTCTTTGCAGAATAGTTATTTTTCCTAAACCTCATCCCACCAGTTTCTTTAAAAAAACCCAGAGTTTCTGTTTACTTATTAATGCTTGCAGAATACAAGCCCCTAATATTGCACAAGATTTATTATTTTTTCTTTCACCCTACTTTTTTCTCCCTTGAAGTCAATATTCCTCCCAAAAGTAATTTGTTCTATTGTAAATTTAGAGTGTGCTCGATAGTTATTGAGGTAGAGGATTAATGGATCTGTCTGGGGGCAGATAATCAGCAAATCTCACCCCCCAGCTCTTTTAATACAGTGCAACCTTGGAAATGTTATTTCATTCTTCAGTCTCTCTTTCTAGAAGCATTTAGCAGTTCTCATGGTCATTCTGCCCATTATATGACTGTGAAGACCATACTTAAGCAGAGGAACCAGTTGTGCTCAGGAGGAATTTTCTGAACTGACTTATTGAGGAGTCTTTGGCACTTGCACAAAATTACTTTGATATAAAAATACACATTATCTATTATGACCATTTTTTTACCATCTACACAGAATATGTACAGATGCAAAGAGCTGTGTATGCTACAAGTTCTTACCTGACATCATGCCAGCTGATCTCTCAGTTCTGCACTCAGGTGATAAAAATATAGCTGTAACAGTGTTCCCTTTTTAAAAAGTATTATTATTTTCTGGCACTCCTTCAATCACAAAATGACTGTCTTGTTTTACACTCCATCCTGCTTATAAACAGTCTCTCCTTATGTATGAGATGTTAGCATGAGTGCCAGTTGGCATAACTTCCTATCATAATGATGGGCACCTTCTCTCCCAGTCATCAGCAGCTGAGTGCCCTTTGCACTGCAGATGAAACTGCCTGACAGATTTTTATGAGGGAAGGAAAAGAAAATGACAGATGTTCCAAGCCGCACCCTTCGATGTCACATAGGGTAAATTTTCTGTGTGTGCACCACTTACAACCTGAGTCAGGGCTTCTCAAAGTAATTCAGCTGCTATTCAGGCTGTTGTGTAGAAGAGGTCTCAGCTAATCAGGCATCAAATACTTTGAAAGGCAACATCACATGTGAAACAATCCTTCCTTTTTTGTCTCAATTCACCTATGTATTGTTCCAATTTAATTTAATCTACCTGTTGAGGAATTAAGCATGAGGGCAAAATTAATAAATATTCTCTCTTTTGGTTGGAGAAACAGGACTTTGTTTCAAGTGCTGTTCTGCACAGGTTAATATGGTACATGCTGAATAAAAGAGCAGTTTCAACCGACACAGCTTGGTAAAAGAGCTGTGAGGAATGTAATTGCACAGACTTATTAATGACACACTATAGAGAGGGCTCAGGAAATGATTTCTGGTTATATTCTGTGGGACTGTGCTGTGGCATGCTCAGTTGTGCCAATACTGGCCCATATGGTCAGCAAAGGTGGGAGTCTGGACACAGCTAATGTCACTGGATGGGTCCAGGCACTTCCACTCCTTACCATGGCAAAAAGGCCAGGGTCCAAAGCACATCTTGTGCATGGTGCAGATAGCAGGCAAGACTGGTGCAGAGGAAGGAGTGGGATCATTTGTCCATGTGTCTGGACTCTTTTGTCTATCTGAACAATTAGAGTTAATACTTAGGCTTAGGGTTATCTTGCTGCTGGAGACAGAAAAAAACAGAATGACATAAGAGTGAGTAATCCCAGGGTCCCTTACTGGTTAGTGGGAAGGAACAGGCACTTACAGACTGGATTCATTCTTCTTTGGACAGAGATGAATCATGCTACAGAGATACTTCTTTCTCTTCATTGACCATATTGGGAGGCCAGGGCAAAAATTTCAATGCACATATCTACAATGTAAAAGCCTTCCTTTTGTAAGATGAGACTCTCAACTAGTGTCAGCTCCCAGTACTTTAAAAAGAGGAACTAACTTCAAAGAGAAATGTGCCCTGTGATTTCTGAGATGAGCTTACCTCTTTGTATATCCATCATAATCTTGCTAAGTTACATTTGGTGAGATGAAGAGGCAGATGCGACCAAAAAGAGATAACCTGGGGTCATACTTGATGAAGGCAGAGTAGGAAAAGACAAGAAACAGAAAATTACTGACCTTTTCATTATTTAAAACCAAAACACAAACCAAACCAAGCCAAGGAGTGGGAAATAAGAAATAAAAGACTTGTGATTAATCATGAATAGGGTAACTTTGATTTCTGCAGAGACCCATCAGGAGTCTGCCATTTGGAGCCGAATCATTCTCAGGTCAAGGCATTTTCACTGAGTTGATATTGAGCACAATTCATTGTCTAAATATGCACACTAAAAAAAAAAAAATCCATTACTGTCTGAGAGATATCTTTTCAAAGATAAATGGGCAGCTGCTGCTTAACTATGCTTACTCTCCACCTGAGTAAGGATTAGCCTGTTTTTTGCACCTGCATCACAATTTGTGTTGCTTAAACTACAAAAGAAAAATATAACCATTCTAAATCACATACCTTAAGGAAGCCTTTAGCAGGTCTGCTTTTTTTTTTCTTGTTGGAACTTTGGATTGTGCAATCTAAGTATAACCATCACCTGATGGAATTTTTAATAAAATGTCACCTGATCCTTTGCTGTTCATGCAACACATTGTAAAAAAGCTGTATTGTACCCCATGTAAACCCATTTCAATTGCTGTCTAAAGGGTTTTCACAAGACATGCAGCATTAGGAGAAGATGCATTGATCTCCCATTGTCTGGGTACCAGTGCTATTTCAGTAGTACCACTTGAGTGAGTGAAAAACCTGGGACTAAATTGGAGAGTACCCATGCATTTCATCTGCAATCAGAAAAATACAAATGGAAATTACAATTTCCTTTTCTGTGGAAAGACTCGTGCTGATATGTCTTATCTACCCAAGGAAGGCTTTCAGGAGAAGAATGTCACACTCTGCCCTGGCCAGACACCTGTGTGAGATGCTCCTGAGTGCTGACTCCAGGTGCTGGGACAAGCATTGTCAGAGACAAAGGCAGAGACTGTGGCCAAATGTGTGGCAGTCCATTGCATGTGGGATCATGCAATAAGAGCCTTAAGTTCATTAAGATCACATTTTTGGGCTTCAGTAGTTTTCAGAAGAGGGTATATGGACTTTTTGAGACCAGTCTTCACTGTGCCATGTGGCAGACTTGTCTTCTGCTGAGAAAAAATCAAATTGTCATCATGGACTTCACAGGAGAGACAGAAGATTGGAGAAAGGGGAAAATATTGAAAACAATGAAAAGGGAAAGTCTCAGTTCATGACACAATCCAAAGACAGAGAATTTAATCAAATATCTACAAAAGAAAGTGAAGGAAGATTATTGGCCAATATCCTTGGAAATTTTTACTCCAGTAATTGGCAGAAATGCTTTTGGGCTTGTGTAGGTTGTTGCAAAGTTTATACATGCTTCAGTCTGCATCTGCACAATCTCTCCTGTGTGAATATTACTTTGCCTAGAGTTTTTAACACGGCTATTTAATAATGTTTGGAATTTACCACATATTATTTGCCTGTGTGGATAAATAGTGATTAATACTAATAGATTTTTTCTTGTTACATGAAGTCCATAGCCTTTAATCAGAACAGGTGCTGGAAGGTCTTTCCTTAAGAAACAAGCAATGTCTGAAAAATCAGACAGAAAAAGCAATATATTTGAGGATTTGCCTTTTCCTCCCCTTTGCTAGTGTAATTAACTATTTGTTCATTCCAGCCCATATGCCTGCTGTTCTTGTTAATCCTTTTCCCCAACAGCCCAGTTCTTTCAGTCTTACCTGTTAGTGGTTTTTCTTGTCTCTATTGCCTCCATTAACCACCTCAGCTGTGGGAATTTCAATTTGTTTAGCAAGTCTGAGTGGCTCCTTGGCATCATCCAAACAGTCCCACTCCTACCCCCAATTCCCTGGGATCCTATGCCCAATGGTTTTGGGAACTCCTCACTTCCTGACAACTGCATCTTTGAAATCTGTTATGGCATCATATATGATATGATATATCATATATCATAGTGATACACACATATATCATCAATCCCACTTTTGACATCTCCAAGGTTAGCTCCAATCCACACCATTACCCATCCCTGGCACAAGTATCTTTTCTCTGGCTGATTCCACTTAATAAATACCCTTCCCCATCACCTGTTTCTCCTCATGACCCATATTTTCAATTATCTGTTTTCACAGGTCTGTGATACATATTTCAGTTGCAATTAACTTTTATTCTTGAACTGCAGCTTCTTTATTCCAGGCTCTGTGGCTTATTTTCTGCAGTTTGGACAACAGCAGTGCTTTCATCTTGAGATTTACTACAAGAACACTATAAAAGAAAATACTTAGAGATAGTTAAACTGCTTATTGTAAAGTGCTCATAACTTCTGTCTTGTTTGAAAGATGGGTTTTCCTTTTGAGTTATGCTAACTTATCATTCTGCCTGTCTATCTATCTATCTATCTATCTATCTATCTATCTATCTATCTATCTATCTATCTATCTATCTATCCCTTAATTTATGGATTCAACTCCTCACTACAGAGAGATCTGGTATATCTGCTGCTGCCTCCCCCAAGAAATTATTATCTAATCTTTTCTTTTCCTTATTCATTCTGCCTAGTATCTGGTTAGCCACAAAACACATATGTGAGATCTATTCCTTTGAGGACATTTTAGCTCCCTTAAACTCCCTTCTTTTCAGATTTGAACCAGATAATTTTCTGGAAGCCTGACTTTCTGAAGCCAGATGATTTTGTTTTCTATCTTAAGGAAAAAAGATCACCTTTCATTCTGATTCCAGTTGCTTTCTAATTGCTTATGGTTCTTGCAGTGTCTCCTTTTCAGTTGTTTTCTTGGCTCTCTGTATACAAAAGCTGTAAAAGGCTGTTGCCAACTTCGAGAAACTGCTGGATTGTCTCTGCCTACCTGTATGCCTGTTCTGGATACTGGGTTCATCAAAGCTACCTATTCTGTAGCTATTGTTCCTTTCTGAATGTCAGAGCTGAAGATCTCATGCTGTATTTGCATTGGTGGTGTAGTAAAATGCAGTTTTCACTCAGCCCTATATTACTGCTTCCTTCTTTGTTCCAACCCCCTGGATATTCAGCCCTCTAGGTATTTCCAGCATGACTAAGCCCACTAACAGCTTTCAAGGAGGGCATACTTTTTCCAACAATTTGTTTAATTTGCTTAACAGGTTAAAATTGCCATTCAGTATGTATAGCCATAGTCAGCATTTCTGGTAGATCTTAAGTGCAGGAAAGGGGTGGCCATTCCCTGGAAATCCAGAGAGTTTATTCAAAACAGCTGAAGACAAACACCAAGATAAGTGAAATCACATAAGATTCAAGACTTTGGAAGACTTGATACTTTCCAGGTCCAGGAACAGTGCAACTTAAAGAGCGCAAAAGCACAGGAAGTAGATGAACACATGATGTCCTGCAGGTTTCCAGAAGATGGGTGCAATTTTGACAGTCCCATGGCATGTCAGCCTTGTTTTCCATGGTAACATGGAATCAATGGAATCATGGAATTTCAGTCTTCTCGGAAAGACTGAAATTTAGAAATTAATTTAGCTTGTTAATACATGCTTTCAAAAGGGAGGACAGAGATACGTACAGAAATGTATTGAATCTTGCTAGTGTATCTTATTTACCAGAGCATTTTGTTTGATCAGGATTTATCGTGGAGAAGAGGAGCTCTGTTTCTACGGTTCTTTGTTCAGAGCTGTATTCTTTGAAGACTACAATCTTGGGCTGAAGACTGCAAAATATTTATTGAGGATCTGTGACTCAGGGACTTTAATGGCAATATGTTATATGCCATAATAGCAGGCAGTAAGATTTGGAGTAACTCAATGGAGAACAAATATTAAAATTACTTTCCCATTTTCCCATTTAGTGACCCCTAGAGGAAGTTTGAACTGTTGTAGTGAATCCAGCTGAGTACAATTTTCTTTGGGACTTTAACCCGCTCATCTGCTTTTACTGTCCTTGGAAAAGAAGGGAAAGGCAATAATTTTCAACTGAAAGTCCAACAAGTTGTTGTGAAATTTTATGCAACATCCTTAAGCCACTTCCAAGCTCTTACTGATATTTTCAATCTCTTTTTTCCTCTCAAAGAAGTTAAATGACTGTATGAGGATGACACCAAGGAAAAAAAGAATGGATTACGGTGATTTTGTTATGAGGGCTCCACCGGGACTTTGAGGGAACCAATTCAAAGAAAAACCCCCACAGAACAAATTTGCAGGACCAGTGGAGAGAAATAATATTCTCATACTCTGCCCATCTGTACCATCATTATTCTTAATGGCCCGTTCCTGCATTTCTGAAATACAGTGTACCTAGAGCTGGATGACTAGCTGTTCTTTGGGACTCAGCGCATTTGGATTCAAAGCTGCATTTTTGCTGCATACAGGATGCAAACCTTAGGGAAGCTCATGTCATGAATACCTTCTCTCTGTCAATCTTTCTGAAGCAGTCTCATGTGTTGTACATATGCCTTTTTGTGCTCTTTTCCTTTCTTTTTCTCTCTTTCTGTTGTGGTTTGACACCAGCCAAACACCAAGCACCCACAAAAGTCATTCACTTACCCCTCCCACCCCCAAGTTGGGCAGAGGACAGGGAAAAAAAGAGTAACAAAGGGTTCATGAGTGAGATGAGGACTGGGAGAAAACACTCCAAGGGCTCAACAAGCTCAACTTGGAAGTACAGAGTGAATTAATTACTAACAAAGTCACAGGAGGGTAATGAGAAGTAAAATAAATTTAAGCTCTTAAAACACCTTTTCCCCCCTCCTCCAACTCCTCCCTCCTTCCCACAGCAGTGCAGGGAGACAGGGCATGGGGGTTTTGGTCAATTTGTCACCCGAGCTTTTCTTCCTGTGCTCAGGGAGTGCAGTCCTTCCCCTGTGAGAGCCTTCCCGTGTGGGTCTCTCCCACAGGACACGGCTCTCGGGAGCTGCCCTGGCGTGGGGCCGCTCTCCGAGCAGCAGCCGAACCTCAGCTGCTGCAGCGGGAGCTGCCCCGCGGGCAGCCAGCGCTGCCACAGCTGCTGCGTGTGGGCCTTTCCTCCCAGGGCTGCGGCCTNCCTGCCCCGGCCTGCGAGCAGCGCCCTCCCTTTCCCCGGGCCTCCCACTGGATCACGGCCTCCTCCAGGCATCCACCGCTCCGGCGTGGGCACCTCCCCACGGGCTGCGGCTGGATCTCTGCATCCCCATGGATCCCCATGGATCCCCATGGATCCCCACGGGCTGCTGCTGGATCTCTGCATCCCCATGGATCCCCATGGATCCCCACGGGCTGCGGCTGCATCTCTGCATCCCCATGGATCCCCATGGATCCCCACAGGCTGTGGCTGCATCTCTGCATCCCCATGGATCCCCATGGATCCCCATGGATCCCCACAGGCTGTGGCTGCATCTCTGCATCCCCATGGATCCCCACAGATCCCCACGGGCTGTGGCTGCATCTCTGCATCCCCATGGATCCCCATGGATCCCCACGGATCCCCACGGGCTGCAGGACACAGCTGCATCACCATGGTCTCACCACGGCCTGCAGAGGAATCTCGGCTCCTGTGCCTGGAGCACCTCCTCCCCTCCTTCTCCACGGACCTTGGTGTCTCCATGTTGTTTCCCTCACGTGTTCTCACCTCCTCCTCTTCTCCGACTAGAAGAAAAAAACTGTTCCCCCTTTGTTTTTATTTTCTTCTTAAATATGTCATCACAGAGGTGTTACCATCATATTTCATTGGCCCAGGTTTGGCCAGCAGCATGTCTATCTTCAGAGCCATCAGGAATTTGCACCGCCAGACATGGTGGAAGCTTCCAGCAGCTTCTCAGAGAAGCCACCTCTGTGGCTCCCCCACTACCAAAGACCAGGCTGTGCAAAACCAACACACTTTCCTGATTTGTTAAGGACTGCTGGGATAGCCCCGAAACACAGTCTGACTTCTAATGAACCTCTAGAGAACTCCTGGATGAATTGCTTTTTTGTCAACAGAATTTTGTTTCTCCTGCACATTATTTATGGCACCTGTCTGCCAGGTGTAACTGGCATGTAACTTTGGAATGGGTTCTCCCATACCCCATAGTTGTCATCACTTCCTTCAAATTCATTTGCACAGGAAATTCAGACATTTTACACTGAGATATAATTACATAGGTAAGACTGCTCTCACAGATCAAATTTGCATGTGTATTCATGCGATTAGAAATCTTTTGCTATCCAACTACCATAAAAAATACACTCAATTTTTCTGAAGTGACTATTTAGAAAAGTTCCTTTATTAATGTTTTTTGGAAAATTAATGGACACACTAGCTTCTCAGAATTTTGTCTGTTAGATGTGCTAAAGAAGATGCTTTTTGCCATCTGCTTCTCCTCCCAAACTCTGTATTTACATGCAAAGAGACTTCCCCTTCCTGAAAATATCTTACACACAAAGACTAAGCAAAGAAATATTAGAAATGGAAGGTGTGAGTCCAGTGGGGAATGCCTAAAGGAACTTGGGTTTTTTATCCTGGACAAAAGAAGGCTCAGGGGAGGCCATATCACCTCTTGAAACTTACTAAAAGGAGGTTATAGCCACATGGGAGTTGGTCTCATCTCCCAGGTAACAAGTGGCAGGATGAAAGAAAACATCTTCTAGTCCTACCAGGAAAAGTTCAGGTTGGATATTAGGAAGAAGTTCTTCACTGGAAGGGTGATAGGCATTGGAACGATTCCAAGATGTCCAGGAAAGTGGTGTAATCACCATCTCTGAAAATATTAAAAAACATGTGGATGTGGCACTTGGGTACATGGCTTAGTGGTAGACTTGGCCGTGCTGGGTTAACAGTTGGACTTGATGATCTTGAAGGTCTTTTGCAACCTAAAGGATTCCATGATTCTATGAAAAATCACTCCATGTGGACTGAATTAAAAGCAGCATAAATGACGGTATTATTCAAAGTATTATTTTTTAAAAGGTTCATGGATAGTTAAAATGAGGCTCCTAGAAACAACAGGACTGAATCTTCAGAACTCCTCCAAAGCATTTTCCTGGTTTTTTTAATATCTGAAATGAATGCAATAAAACTCCTTTTCTCTCTATTTTACTGTAGAATCATAAGTAAAATCAACAAAGCATCTATATTTCCACATTTTTTGGGTTCATACCTAGTAGAAAACAAGATGCCTCTTTCAGCTCCTGTTTATAACTTTTCAAGCAAAGAAAGAAAGCTCTGCCAAATTGAAAGCAATTGCTGATTTCTAAAGCAATCAACAAATACAAACTGGACACCTGATACCAACCAAAAAGCCAGCCTACATCTTGCCTTTGCTGAACCAGTTAACTCAAATGTATTAACTCCCCTTTTCTTTTCACTCCAAGGAAATAATGCATAAGATTGTAGAGTGGAGTTTAATACCTGAAACTTTAAAATGTTGCCTGGTATAGAATTTAAACAAGGAGGAACTTATACCAAGGCACAGCAAGTATAGAAACATCCCAGAATTTAAAAGATGAAGTGAAAAAATATTTCTTTGTCTAGGGTATTTACTTACCAAAAAGAGAAGACTCTTTGGTGAAATGAAAAGTACATCTTAGATCAGAATCAGAAAATCAAATCCATGGCATGTGTTATTTGTAATGTGGAATAGTTGTGATTTGCAGCTAAGAGTGTCAGCAGGAAAAGGAATCAAAGCATACAGCAGACCTCTTCATATGGAACAGAACTTCATATACCCTCCAGTGAGTTATTGCACATACCTGCTGTCTCCTATCCAGCCTGGCTGTCATGTCCCTGTGTGGGCTTCTGTGTGTCCCTATAAACAGACACTTTGGACATGCTATCACTTCTCAGCGTGGCCATTCTGTGTTTGGCTGTCTTGTGAGAGATGTTGTTCACAATGAGGTTGTGGGAACAGCCTTGGGGAAAGGTGTTCACACCTGGGAGCTGGAGGATGACGGATCTGGGAGGGTGCAGCTCAGAGACACACCCCATCCTCATGGGACTTCACTGTGTATGGGATGGGGATTAGCACTACAGCAGCCACATCTTCAGAGGATGCCTCTGTAATGGCACATCTGCAGTAAGTGTAATTAATTCCATTAACTTCAAAGACACCAGGCAGGCTGCTTTACTTGGTGGTCTGGCTGCTTAGATGAAAGAGGTAATGCTGTGTCTGTTTCTTTCTGTACTCTGTCCACGTTTCTCACTAACACAAAAACTTAAAGCTGTATTTCCAATAAATGTCACCTTGTATCAATCACAGCTAACATTACCCTGTATCCCTATGATTAATTCAGACACATGCACGTAATTGTTTGTCTTGGAAGGTTCAGTTCATTGCACAGTAACTTATAGTCTGAATTTTGGGAAGCCCAAACCATATGTGGAACTCAGCAAGCACTGCAGTTGCTTCATTACTTGCAGAGTTCAACAGTTAATTCTGCCTGGCTTCCAAACACCTTTGTCATTCCCTAAAGCGCTTCCTCTGCCTTCTACCTTCACAAATTGATTGTGATAACTTTAGGAAGATGAGCACATTGAGTTCATTAAGAGTCAGACACATATTTTGAAAGCCCAGTATAATTTTCAATGATAAAATAATAAATCTGTATTACATTTGAAACACAGGCAATTGCAGAAATTGTTACTGCTCCTATTTAGAGCCTTGCATTCCCTCCATATAGCAGGACCAATAGATAATATAAAACCCCAGTGTAAGAGAAGATCTCAGCCCGAGTATTCTTTGACTGGTTTACAGGCTGTACAGGCAGTTTGGTACTTGTATACCTGCACACCTGTTTCTCAGCCTCAGAAACAGCTCAAGTGCACTCTTCTCATGTCAGTGTCACCCTGACGCCAAGACAAGCTCTTCCAGGTACTTCAGCAGTCATTTTCCAGTGGTGTCCTTCATTGATTTCCCAGTTGAAAGGTCTGGGTCCAGCTCTCTTTTCTCCAGCTTTTTGCTCTTGCTGAACTTCGATCCCTAGAGCTGTGGTACTAAGAAACAATTGAATATTGATCTCTCCCAGTTAATTCTCCAGGGTAATAATTTTATTTACCCTTTTTGCCAAAGCGTTTGCCACAGAGATTGCTTCTCCTCTGAAAGACCAACAGGCCTTTCAGACACCCTGGCTTTCTAGGCAGGAATGCTTCTCCTCCCTCTTGCCTTGATGAATAACTGGCATTTAGCTACACTCACACACTTTTCTCACAGTGCTGTCTTGCCACAGTCCCTAGTGTTTGTTGACCTCCCTGCTAACCTCTGTCATGCCTGTGGTTTACCAGAAGTGAGTGTGTGTCTGCTTGCAGGTACTGATGAAGATGCTGAATACCTGGGCCAGTCCATGAGGAAGATATATGTCCCCATTCAGAGACTTCCCTGCTCACAGAAACTTGAAGTCTGTCAATGAGCCAGTTATTTTTCTTTCTTGCCTGTGCTTTTTTCTTTTTTACAGTTTTACATTTTTAAGCAGCGTATTGCCATCTCCTAAAGCCTTTACACAGTGTATGACTGTTATAGAGAAGAAGTTATCTTTAATTGTTAAATATGTAATCTTATTCAATAATGAAATTATTATTTATTTGATGAGACTTTTGTCATCTGGGATATTGTGCTAAGTAACATTAACTATATTTCTATAATTTAGTTGTTTTTTTAAAATCAAACCCTTACATTAGCTTTTCTGGTATTTTAACTACAATTTATGTCAGGCTGGACTATGGAAAAATTCTCCATGGATGGAGAAAACAGGATATTGTCCTCCCCTCTCCCATCCACTATTAGGAAGTTTGTCCTGTACCATGTTGCCCAGGGTGATCCTGATCCATTTATAAGAACTGAGGAACATTTGAAAAATAGCCCAGTAATACAGAAATTATTTCTCACAAAGTAAACAAAGATAGATGGAAGAATAATTTTTTCTCCTTCCTTAAGATGAAATCCAGAGCAGCGAACTGATAAATACATTCTACTTGAAAGTTGCCAAGAAAATCCCCAAATTTAATTATTAATGACTGATATTGATTTCTGTTTGCTTATTTAGATGTATTACTGTAGAACAGTTTCTTGGAAGGAA